CTACTTGTTGCTCTTCCAGAAGACCACAAACTGTGCATTAGTGACATGATGTGTCTTCACCTTTAACTTTGGAGACCAAGGCCGAACTGCACTGGTCTTATAAGTCCCTGTGTCTGTCTCCTGCAAAAGTAGGAGTTGGAAATGAAGGCAAAGAAACCTTTCCCAAAGCCAATAAATGTTCAGATTTAAAAACAGGATACATTTGCAAGCAATTCATACTGGTTTCCAGTTGAACAGATCAATAGGTGAAGCTCTTGCCATCGGCATTTATTCATTAAGAGAATGAATGTCCAAACTCTTGTCTTTTGCCTTTGGTGGTCTGCGCGGCTTTCTAAGACCTTACCTTTTCTCCTAGGCACGGAAGAACGAACTGGCCATTGAAGACATGGATGGCGGCACTTTCACAATAAGCAATGGGGGGGGTTTTGGGTCGCTCTTTGGGACACCTATCATTACCCCGCCCCAGTCTGCCATCCTAGGCATGCATGCCATCGTTGACAGGCCTGTGGCCGTGGGAGGCAAGGTAGGTGGAGTTGCGCAGGAGGTTTCAGTGAAGAGAGGGGAGGGCTCAGTGGGGTGAGGACCGTGGTCCATGTGCTTTTTCTACAGGGTTGGTGTCTACTTCTGAAAGGCTTTACTGTGAAAGAGGAGCAGACTAACGGGTGTAGGGCAGCTTTGCTTGGTACCAGGCACTGGTACTTGTCCGAGGTGTGCAGGGGGCCTTGTCCTGTCAATGAAGGGAAGAGCTGGATAATCTGCTTGGGCATGGGAAGGAGGGAGAAGCTGTAGCCTTTGTGACAGAGAACAGCTCCAGAAAAGGACCTAGTCTTGTGCGGTGTGGACCCAGCCTGGGTGGTGATGAGTGCCTGGGTGAGTGAGTAATCTTGCCAGGCAGGGCACATCCAGGAGGGCCTGAGCCCTGGATTCCGGATAGCAAAAAGCCAGGTCTTGTCTGAATTTGCAGGAGGGCATCGTGCAGGCAGTAGGGCTGAGCTCACTAATGCCTATCTTATTCCTCGGCCCTTCAGATCGAGGTGCGGCCCATGATGTATGTGGCGCTGACGTATGATCACCGGCTGATTGACGGCAGAGAGGCAGTGACTTTCCTGCGCAAGATCAAGGCAGCGGTGGAGGATCCCCGCGTGCTGCTGCTCGACCTGTAGAGCAGCCGCACCCCCACACAACCCACCCAGGGCAGGGCCACAGCACCAGCAGGGGCGATGCAGGGCATTCAGGAACTGGCAGGGGTCATTCCAGTCTCACTCCCTCCGCTGTGATCGGAGCTGTCCCAGAGGGAATTGTGGGGATAGCTCCTACCTCCTTTCCTATTCTGTTTAATGAAGGTTCAATTTCTCATGAGGGTTGCTGTGCAGTGGGCCAACCACTGAATGGCACTGCCTTTCCAGAGCTGTCTGCACCTCTCCCTCACGGCACCAAACTCTCACCTCTAGCTTGTCCTATACCACTGGAAACTGCCTGCTGCTGCTGTGCTAGGGTTCTCCTCCCTGCCGCTCCAAGGCGGGTTCAGCTTTATTTCCTAGCACTGAGGTTCTTGGGAGGGAGAGGAGAGGAAAGGCTACTACTCTGTCCCTGTTTTGCTTGAAATTGTTTTACTCTTGTCTACTTTAAAAGGCAGTCTGGGGACCCCCAGGCTGCTTGCAGCAGGGGTTTGTGGTCAGAGCAGGGCTTGAGGCAGGTGTCACACCTCAGGCAGTGCCATAGTTACACTCCTTCCACAGACCAGAATATGGCGGTAGCAGCTCCCCTGCCTTCCCCTGGAGACTGTCTCTCTCCAGCCCGGTCACTGCAGCATGAATGTTCCTGTCCGGGTGGGCGGAGGCTGTGACCTCTGTGGAGGTAGCACTGTTCCCGGGGCGGGACACAACCCCTTCACCATTGTACGCCCAACACAGGGGTGAGAACCAGCCCCCAGCAGCTGCCCTGGAATCACAGCTCCCTGATGGTGGATCCGACTGCTGGCTTCCTGCGTGCGAGGGCTTGGCCCGCTACCAGCAGTGAGACAGCTGGGGAGGGCCACGTCTTTAATGTATATCCCAGCCCAAGGCTGCTGGTTTTGGGGGGAGGGGGGCAGTCCTTAATCTGATAGCGCACACATGTATTGGGGAGTGAGGGGGTTGCTAGTGCCTGCAGAGTCTATTACTCTTACCCTCTACACAGAACTTGTAACTAAAATATTTAACACAGCGAATTTTAAATGAAATAAAACTGGGCAATGACTGCGAGGTGGGGGTGTGCTTGAGGGGGTGAGCAGCAGCTCCTGGGCAAGGACTCGGGCATCAGCAGCATCCCTAGTGTAGCATAAGAAGCCTCTCATCTGGTGGCGAGCGAAAAGAATGAATGGGAGCTGGGCCTGTTGCTGGTGGTACTAAATTGAGGCTTCTCTGGCTGTTCTCAAACCCTCTTTGGCACAGAATTGGCTCTTCCCAGCAAAAATGAGGTTTTCAGGGCTGGAAATCATCTTTTTATTGGTCTGGCAGCAGAACTGTTGCAGCCAGCAAGGAAATCTCAGCATTTGCTAAATGGCCTGATGGCCAAGAGAGGAAGTTAGGACAGACTCTTAAAGTACAGGTGTGGAACTGGGTGGTTTTTTCCTGCTACAGGGGGAGAGGTATAAATCATGCAAGTTGGGGAAAAGGCCGTTAGGGGTTGCAGAGGGAGAAATGAGACAAGACCAAAGAACTGTAAAGCAAAAGCTGTCTGTGGTGGTGAGAGCGTTTCCCCGGGGAGATGTCTCTGTTGGAACAATACGAAATTGTTACTGGATTGTGGCAGGGTTTTTCCAGCTCTGACATCAAGTTCAGAGAATGGTTTGCTCTTCCCAGCTACGAGTGAAAGAGGCAGCCCCTTTTAACAGAAAACAATTGCACTCACAGCTGGCACGAGGGAGAGCAGTTCCTAGTACTGTATTCCTGTGGCTTCCTGGTAGCTATGGACAAACCGGTGTGTGAGTCAGCTTTCTTCTGACTGTCTCTGGTCAAGGGAGAAGGTAAGGAGGAGAGGAGAAACCCCTGCCCTGTGCTGTAAAGGAAGGGTAAGGAGTCCAGCTGCTCTTGCACAAATGGGAGTGAAGGAGAAGGTTCTGATTCCGCAGTGCTGCTAGCACCCAGCCCTCTGTGCTGGTGTACGATACACAGGGCCCCGTCTTGACTCTGTACATGAGCCTGGGGAAGGGCAATGCCTGTATTCTGTCCGGACCTGCAATAAATGAGGCCTTTGAACTACTCAGGGAGTGAATGTACGGTCCAGCTCTTAAAATGATGCAGTCTAGCAAACTGCTTTATTTAATCTGCCTTGACGAGGATTGTGCAGCTGCTGTGCTTGAAGCTCACATTTTTTTAACCCTCCTGGGTGACACCCAGGGCACCGTGTTGCAAGAAGCCACGCTGTGTCTTTGGCCCATGGGGTGGGTCCTGCCGAACCTCCCCAAATCACAAGACTCAGAGGCTGGGGGCCAACCTGTGGCTGGAGGGTTCAGCCAGTGCAGGCTGCCCTGGAGAGAAGAAGTCCCAGGCTTCGCTGCTTGTGCTGCCTGGCCTGCTGTGGCATTAGTGGTCAGCGCCCTGGTAAGTCCTTTTCTGCAGTCTTTTGAGGTGTTCCCTGCCCTTTCTGGGGTGGAAGATTAGTTTCTCCTGGGCTTGGCTTCCCTCTGGTGGACAAGTGCTCCTGCTGCTACCTGAGAACCAGACTGTCAGCAAAGAGCAGGGTGTTGGAGCTGGTGGCAAGCAGGAGCTGGGACCGGCCAGCCACAAAAGTGTCACTGATGCCAGCAATTCCTTACTACTGGGCATGAGCGAGCAATGGGGGTGCTGGGAGAGGAGGCCCAAAACTACACCGCTCATACTGCTCAATCCTTCAGCCTATGGCTTTGACTTGCACAAATGAGCACAGCAGCCTCTGCTTTGGGCTAGCAGACACCTTTAGTTCATGCATTTTATTCCATTCTGGTCTGTATTTACCCTTATCCACCATCCATCTGTGCTGACTCTCAGGATTCATCCCTTTAAACCTTCACTGTGTGGGCTACCAGGGACAACCATGCTCAAACCACAGCAATGAGGGAGCAGGGCTGCTGGCCTGCCAGCAGAAAGGCACAGGAGGCTGGAGCCAGAATGGGTGATGACAACAAAAGTCAAGACTGGAAGAACAGAGGCACGCGGTGCAGTTTTCCCAACTTGGAGCTGCAGCCATATAGCAGTACAAACCCAAGAGGCCATGAGGCAGGCAGGGGCACAAGGGGAGATGTTCAGGCACTTGGTGCCACCTTCTGGGTTTTGGCTGCAGGGTGCTGACACCAACCCAGTGCTCCCAGGCAGGTTTGAGAAAAATTATCTGAGCCTCTCCCTCCCTCAGCACTCTTGGCCCAGGCCTGACCAGTCCAGCTCAGAACAAAAAGACATTTTTGCAAGCGATGAGTGGTTTATTTTTTTTTTCAGAGGGCCAGGCGGAGAAGCGCAGAGGGCTCCTGCCCATCTTGACCTGAAAGCAGGCATTGCCCACACATACATGCAAGTCAGGGATGGGCACAGACCCCAGGCTCAGGCACCAGCCAGCGGGGCCCAGCAGAGATGCACTTGGAAGCCACAAAAAAATAGGCGAGGGAATCATGGTCATAGCAGCAGAGATTAAAAACTATAGGGAGGGCATCCCAGGGCATGGTTCTGAGCTCAGCAAGGGCTGCCCCAGAAGGAGAGCAGGAGCTGCTCCATGGGGATGCACAGCCAGGCTCTCTTTCCCACCAGGGAGGCCCTAGAGGAGAAGACAGCCTAGCTCAGACCACAGCCTCCTCTCTTGGAGACGCCAACAAACACGAGCAGAGACTGAAGGACATGGAAGGCCACGAGTCCTCGTGTGTAGCTCACCCCAAAGCAGTCCTTGCAGGCAACCCTCTGCCAGCAGGCAGAGCTACCAGTGCCACCTGGGGTCACAAGTGGCAGGGCCAGTGGCTCTGTGGCTGGCTCCCTGCAGGAAGGACAGCCAGCCTAGCCCACCAGCTTGTTCCAGGGGACGCCGCTGAAGAAGGAGTGGGACTTCAGCTTCACCATGCCACCTCCTCCAGAGCCCAAGCGCCGCTTCGGGTTGTACTGCAGAAGCTGTGGAGAAAGGAGATGGGACAACAGGATGGGGAGATGGGGACACTGGAAAAGCCTTTTTGCCAGCCTCCAGCCATGTCCTCCTTCCCATCCACCCAAGTCGTCCCTCACCTCGGTGAGCAGCGATGTAGCATCCAGGCTGAGCCCCTCTGGCAGGTACAGCTGGGTGTGAGGTTGAATCCCTGAAGGGTGGTTTTGGGACAGTGGCTGCAGGAGGCAGAAGGTGATGGTGAGCAGAGACACGGAGGAGTGCAGGAACACTGCTGAGCTGTCATTGCCCCACAATCCCCACCCCACACACAAGCATTTAAAACCTGGGGCCCTGTACACCCACAGACTGGGCACAGGTACTAGGAACCACAGGCCTGAAGCAACCTGGCCCAGCACTGAGATGCCAGCAGGAAACACTTACGCTACAGTGTCACCTCCTCTCCCCCTCTCCTTGCACAGCTCCTCTGCCTCTTACCACTCCTGTCAGCAGCTCATACAGGAGAGAGCCAAAGCTCCAGCAGTCAGCTGCCTCGGTGGCCTCTGTGATCCCTCCCACTTCTGCAGAAAGAGCAAAAGAGATGTTAGAGCTGAAGGCGAGGAGCACCAGTGGCTGCACTGTGCTGGGCACTTCTTCCTGCCTGCAGAAGCTCCCCCCTCCTTCCCCTGGTCAGTGGCACTGGGTAGAAGACAGAGAATGTCTCTTACCTGGGGCACTGTACAGTTTTTCCCGTGCCTGACTGCAGCACTGGGGCTCCACCTCTGTCCACTGGCCAAAGAAGGTGAGACGGACATGACCTGCAGAGCAGCACCAAACCCAAAAGCAAGGAGGTTAGGACAAAGCTAGGGACTTGGGTCAGAGGACAAAGCCAAGCCATATCCCTGCAACGGGGAAGAGCCAGAGTGCTGGACCCCTGCCACGCCCTGAAGGCAGAAGCACTGCGCCTCCCCCAGCACTGCGTAGTCTGGACCCCCTGCCACGCCCTGAAGGCAGAAGCACTGCGCCTCCCCCAGCACTGCGTATCTGCCACCCTCCCAGTGCCTGCCCGAGACACCCAGTAGGCAATTGCAGCTGGTGAGACTGGTTAGATGGGCTCCTCAGTGCAAGCTGTAGTGAAGAAAGAAGCAGTTTTTAGAGCAGCAAACGTTAGCTTTCCCCTTGCAAAGCTCTCTGCATTTTTCTTTTCCTAAGCAATTTGTACCTCTCCAGTTTGCCCTAGATGTTGCCACATGAGCAGGGCTTGCACTCGACTTGCACTGACAGCTCAAAGCAATGGGATAGCTCCAGAATGCCCCCCCGGGCAGTAACTACAAGCATGGGGAAAAACTGCAGTCCCAGTAACCTCCGGCACAAGTCAGCTGTCTCGGCTTCCCTGTGGGGGGATTTCCCAGGCAGCCAGACCCCACGTGGGAGCAGGAGCAATGCAGTCCTGCGG